GGGTGTGCACATTTCAGCAATGCTGCTCAGGTGAGGAGTGGCCATTGAAGTTCCAGAAACCATGTTGAATGGACATTTGGTACTGATTTTTTCAACTGGAACATGCCAGGCTGCAACAATATTCACGCCAAGGCCAATAATGTCGGGTTTAAGGATTCTAATGCTTAACGGATTTGGACCCTGCCTGAAAAATAAGCAACTGATGAAGCCTGATCATCTCTAATAATAGTTCCTTCGAATGACATTGAAGCTCTCGGAGTAGCCGTTGAATTAATGTACGCTGTCACTTTTAGTCCATCGGCATAACTGATACAAACTGCAGGATAACAATGAGCATTTAAATTTATGTTGTAGCCTTCGAGTTCCTTGTTCATGAAAATCACGGCAACGCAACCAGCGTTCCTTATTGCTTGACCTGTCTCAATTCTTTCTATGCTACCTGTTTCACACAACGCTATTTTCCCTCTGACATTGATGTTTGCAAGAGATGCTAGTATGAAAAATTGGTTACTAGCAGTCGATTCAAGGTAGACGAGAGATAATTGCATTGGAGTGAAATCCATAGGCTGAAAAGCCGACTCTCCATCTAGCGTTGAGTTGTTTCCCAACACAACAGTTGCTCTACTCTTTCTGTCAATAGTACTTGCACCCACAGTGAGTATCCACATAGCAGTATTTTGTACAGTACATAAATCTGTCCCATCATTTCCAGCAGCGACGCACACAAAAATGCCCTTTTCAATTGCTTGAAATGCACCAATTGCGATACTGTCTATGAAAGAGTCTGTAGTCAAGCTGCCAACGGAAAGAGAAATCACATCCACCCCATCATCAACTGCAGCTCCTATTGCACCCAAAACGTTCATTTCCCGCCTAGTGTCAAATTCTGAATAGGTACTTGTCTTAATTTTATACATAGCCAAGTGAGCAAGCGACGCTATCCCTACGGCCGTGCCTTTTGCATTGCCAAACAAATTCGCACCTAGCACAAAATTCCCTGCAACAATGCTAGGAGTGTGCGTGCCATAGCCAATCTCATCCAATGGTATCTCATTTTCATTCGAAAAATCTCTCGCTCCAATTAGCTTACTGTTACCCGCCATGAAATTAAATTCACACTTACCTTACCACTTAGCAGGAGGCGGAGGCATTCCTTCATCGCTAAACGAAGGATGATCAGGGAATATTCCGCTATCTATCAATCCAATTATCACACATTTACCGTAATTGGACTCTTTCCAATTATCAGCCATAGATTATTAAGTTATTATATTTATGAGTCCAATTACGGTAAATTGGAAAGAGTCATAAATATAATAACTTAATTGGACTTTTTACCGTAATTGGATTCATAAATATAATAACTTAGGCTACCATGATTTCCAATTGGACTCTTTACCGTAATTGGACTCATAAATATAATAACTTAATAATCTATGGTTGATAATTGGAAAGAGTCCAATTACGGTAAATGTGTGATAATTGGATTGATAAATAGCGGAATATTCCCTGATCATGCTTCGTTTAGCGATGAAGGAATGCCTCCGCCTCCTGCTAAGTGGTAAGGTAAGTGTGAATTTAATTTCATGGCGGGTAACAGTAAGCTAATTGGAGCGAGAGATTTTTCGAATGAAAATGAGATACCATTGGATGAGATTGGCTAT